CACGCACACACGCACACACGCACCCACACACACACACACACACACACACACACACACACGCGCACACACACGCAGACAGAGACACACACACTCACAACAACAATGTGACACAGTGCGTCTGTGCCGCAGACATCGCAAGTAACATCCACACAGGGATGGTACGTAATCAATCGACGGCTGTCAGTGCCCACCTATTCAGCAACCTCAAGTCGCGGCATGCTCGAACTGCCAATGACTTTGGGGCGTGCCTTATCGTAGGGCTCGGGATTTTCTACATGTTCAGGCGATAGGACGAAAGGTAATGTCAGTTCACGTGGCCTCAGGCTCAGTGACAATCCTCGCTGCCTGGCCACAGCAACTTCAAAGCATTGACGCGACACCACCCACAACTCAGATGTGCCCTCGTTCTTCTTTTTACAGGGACCTTTTCAAGTTCCTTCTCCGTTGCTCTCTCCTCTCTCCTCTCCTCTCTCCTTTCTTCTTCTTTGTGACAGAAGAGCGTTGCTCCCTTTATTTGTCCAGCAATGCGGAAAAATTATTCGTAGGGGAACTGTCAATACTTGGCCAGCAACTTTCCCACCGCTCGCGATGTTCGACATTCCAACCTCCTCTTCTCCCTTCTTCTTCCTCCTCTTCCTGTTCTCCTCCTCCTTCCTTCACCCCCCTCTTCTCCTTCCTCCTCTTTGTCGTCATGGTTGAACTTCCCAAAACCACTACCTCTTCAGCCTCACGGACATTCTTATCTTCTCTAGAAACCACGCTTCTTGGCTCGAGCACCTACCACCAGAAGACCTGACAACAAGATATCTCCCTTTGCAACTTGCTTTCTGAGTATCATCCTTGCACAGTGGCCTTGCTTATTTGCTCTTTATCGTTCCAATTTTGAAGGATGTCCCGGAGCTCTCTCCCTGGGGAACTTGCTTCGACATACTGCGTTCTTTTTCGTCCTTTTTTTCCTACCCTGGATTATGCCACCCCCTGTGTATTTTCGTGGGCATGTCTGGCGCCCGCCACCTACCTTCTTCCCCCGAATATAACGTACGGTCATTATAGCTGTATCTAAACTGAAAGATGCCTCAAATATAGTTACATTCGGGGAGGCACAGCCACTGGCCACTCAGATGATGCTCGGTCCCTCTGCTAAGGTCTGTTCCTGTTGTGGCCCACCTACCGTACGGGGCACCTTGTATTCGAATACACGGTACGGACCTTGTAGAACGAACTTTAGGATGCAACTTTCCTAGGCAAGGGGGGGAAAAAAGAAAAAAGTATATAGTAAATATTAGTAATAATATCATGAATAGAACATAATCGGCCGCTACCGGGACGGGGCTGCAGCGTGAAGTTCCTTTTCTTGTTTTTTTTTTGACTGCTCTGCGTCAAACGTTACCTGTGTTTAACTCTGTGTGTGTGAGTGTGTGTGTGTGTGTGTGTGTGTGTGTGTGTGTGTGTGAGAGAGAGAGAGAGAGAGAGAGAGAGAGAGAGAGTGAGAGAGAGAGAGCGAGCATGGTGCCCGTGTGTGGAAGCAGGTGGGTGCGTGGGCAGCGGACGCCAGAGAGAGAGAGAGAGAGAGAGAGAGACAGAGAGAGAGTTCCGTGACAGTTACAAGGCACACCTTGAATACAAGGTACGTACCTTGTTTTCGAGGGTACCAAAGATTTCTTAAAACCCATTTGTCGGAGGTAACTTGAATACAAGGTACCTTGTTCCCCCTAGCAGCCACATCCATGCTCAAAGGTAACTTGAATACAAGGTACCTTGTTCCCCCTAGCAGCCACATCCATGCTCAAGCCTCCAACGAGGGAGCATGCGAGAGCTGCACCCACCAGCAGGTGCGATACCTGCAACGGCAGGTGGGCAATACTGGCCATGGGTCAGCCTGTAGCATCAGGACCTTGGATGGGCCAGTCGTTGAGCCTCCCCTCCGAGGGAGCATGCGAGAGCTGCACCCACCAGGTGCAAAAACCGGCCAGGGGTCAGCCGGTAGCATCAGGACTGCTTCTTCGATGGGCCAACGGCCTATCTCTAGGTGGCGAGTACCAAGCTTGCCCAGGAAATTACACGGGATTGAACCCAAGACCTCCTGAATGCCACAACTGAGCTAGGCCGCTGGATTTTAGTCCGATGATAATACCTCAAGGTCATAGCCCTTTTGAGAAAAGACGAAAAAAAGGCAGCACAGTAACAGCCGACTCTGTGTCCGAAACTTAAAACAAGGTCGCATGCCTGCAACGTTTTTTTTTGGGGGTAAGTACGTTCATGTCACCTTTGAGTATAGAATGGGAAAAAAAACATGCGTCGGCAAAACGGTGCCGAGTTCAAAAAGGCAACGGAAAAAGGCAACGGATACTTTTGGACCGAAATAGCTCATTTCGAGTTGGCGCGTGGTTTCTCTGCCAGGGCAAGTTTTTTTTGCCTTTAGGGTTTCAAGGTTTTTTTTTTTTTTTTTTTTTTTTTTTGCAAAAATGCCTGCAACGGTTTCACAAAACGTGGGCCAGGAACATGCAGTTCGCTGAGATAAAAAGCTCAAGGTTAGGGTCTCGTTAGACTCTCCTGAAGGAGTCCTAAAAGATTTAGGACCAGTCCTAAAATATTTTTTGGAATAGAATCCTAAAAGATTTAGGACCCGTCCTAAAAGATTTTTTGGAATCATGGCATCAAGGTTACACACATATTCCTTAAAGAATAGGTTTTAGGAGTGGTCCTAAAGGGTTCCCCGCAGCCAGATCTATGTACGTATGCGGAGCCACGCTCGTTGTCCGGCCGACGCCATCCAATGCCCGTGGTACAGAGGGATGGAGCACCCCGCCCTCTTCATTTTTGGAGGCAAAAAAACACATGGAGGCAAGCCTCAGAAAATTTGAATTTGAATTTGAATTTTCAGACAGGAGATTCATCGGTGTGCGTACTAATTACCGCCAGCGGTAGACCAGCATCCATTGACGAATGGCTGACAGGATCAGCACAAATTAAGCTGGAAAAATGGAACAACAAACGAACATCGATCTTTGGACGGGCGCTCGTCATTAACAATGTGGTCCTAGCCACTCTATGGTACAAAGCCATCTTATAGCCTATGAGCAACGGAGGGCTTAAAGTATTGAAACAACAGCTGGCGGCCTTCCTATGGAGGGGCGACAACAATAACACTCACGCCATAAGTCGTGTAGCATGGGACTCGGTGATTCAACCCAAGAACAGGGGCGGATTGGGTATCATAGACCCAGACACGCAACTCCGGGCCCTCTCTATTCTCTGGCTCCAGCACATTATTTTCTCACCTACGTCACCATGGGTCCCCCTCGCCCTGGCACATACCTCAGGCCTCGCCCCAGAAACTCCACCGGAAATTGACCCCCAGATATGGCTGGAAGACAAGTACTGGAGGATACCCAAGAAGTATAGGAATGGTGACCCCACGGACAAATACTGGGTACGCCTCATTCGTCTATGGAGGAAGCTCCCGCCCCCCGGCTGACCGGCGCCTGAGAGGTGGGAAGAAATATTTAGGCAGTCCTTATTTGGCAATCACTTAATAACGGACCCGGGAGGGCGGGTACGATGTGCTTCAGACTCCCCATGGAGAGGGTGGGTGAAATACGAGATCCGAAGGGTTGGGGATCTCTGGGATGCAGAGGAAATAAATTGGAAGAGTACCGACATGATAAAAGCAACCCTGCGGTACTGCCACTTCACTGAGAGAGCACTCAACGAGTTGATTGACAACTTCCCTCTCCACTGGTACATTACCCTCAGAAAAGGCCCCGGTGTAAGAGAAGATGACTGGGTGGGGCTACCGGGCCACGAGGGGGAAGTTGGGTATGTGCACCTAGCTGATCAATCACATGTACTAGTTGAGGTCTTCTCCATCCTAAAGGATGCGGGACTAAGGGGCAACCACCAACCCTTACCGCATCAGGGTCATTACTTATGGAAGTCACCAGAGGGTGTACCACCCAATGGTCCCAATTGAAGACCTCCCCCTGGACCCGGAGGAGTGGCAGTGGACCATGAACATTCCACCCGGGAAGAGGGAGGCAAAAACGCTGACACTACGAAATTTAAAATCCAAGTCAGCCTACCGCATGCTCAGACCGAAACGCGGACTTCGGGATCACATAGAAGATAGATGGTACTGCCACTTCAATGTGGATGGCCACCTACTGAAGCCCATACGCTGGTTTGCACAGCGCAACAAAAGACCCGCCAAGATCTCCGCCCTCCAGTGGTAAATAGAACACAGGTGTCTACCAACTAAGGATTGGCTGATAGACCACACCCACCTGGAGCAACAAGGGAAGGCGCTGCCATGGTGTCATCGATGTCTCCAAAGCTACCCGCCGTACCCGGGGGGGAGACGGGCCGAAACCATTGAACACATCTTCCTTCAATGTCCCGCGTCAGTACTACTGTGGAGAAGTTGAGAGAGAATCTGGCGACACATAGTTCCCGGCGCAGTATGGCCATGGGAGTGGAGGGCCATACTTTTGGGGCATTTCCCTCCATTCTGGGGGAAGACATTTGAGGAGAATATGTTCAATTTGGGTAGACGGAGTGTGCTATGGACTATATAGTGGAGACAATGTTGTTTGGAGTTAGAGGGAGCATGGGTGGAGGACGGAGAGGCGATGGATCAAATTCGGACATTGATTCATTATGAGCTGGCGACACAATGGAAGACAACGAAAGACAGGCTCGACCAAATGTCCTCCTGGGAAGACATGAACCAGATCATTGCTACATTCTGTAAGGACTGGCTGG